CTTGTGACATAATCATGATTAGAGCTAGGTGAGAAGGCCACGCGGGCATCGAGGCGAGAATAGAGAAGAAAAATCAAGATCCGGTGTATCGTAATCATGATATAGTAGTGATTCAGAAGATCTAGGGAGTATTTTGCAGATCATGATTTACGATCTTGTGGTACATACATGACCGAACTATGTGTGAAGCCATAGATAGGATTTCAACATATAGTAGTTCTTTCTTCGTGATCGAAAACCGTTATGGGAGGAATGGCGGCCAAAAAAATAGGAGATTTGGAGAATAAATTGTAGGAAGAGATGAGCAAAATTAAATCCAAGATGGAGAAAATGCTCTCCACTATAAAATGAAGGTTTTCCTCCATGGAAGACTGATTTGAGGGCCGTTTCAAGATCATAGAGAAGATGTTGAGATAGTTTATTGAGATGCAATCCAAGACCCCGTCGGCGGTTCAATTTGCAAACTCTACCGAAGGGTTGACTATAGATTCATTGACTAAATAAAAAATGAAAGATATCAGACAAGAAAAACACGAAGAGGAAATCATCAACCATCAAGAATCTCCTCTCAGAGCTTCGATGGGGAGAGAATTAGAGATTTTCGATGGAGGCGATTGAGCCAAAAGATGGAGAAGGGGCAATGCAAGAGGTATGGAGGAACAAGATGAAGAAATGAGAGAAATTGGGATGGGATATGACTACGATAAAAAAAAGAGAGTTTTACCGTCAATAAATGGGAAAAAATTGTGAATTTAGAGAAAGTTATGGTGGAGATGTCAGAGTTACCAAGTTTAAGATGTCGCTCTTCGAGGGAGAAGACAAGCATGAGTGGGTGTAGAGGGTGGAGCAATATTCTGCAATGAATGAGCTAAATGGCGAGCAGAAGGTCATGGCGACAGTGTTATGTTTGGAGGAAAAAACTCTAGCATGATTTCAGTGGAGGGAAGCTAAATACCTAATCCGCTCATGAGAAAAATTTAAGGATTTCTTATTGGAACGTTTCTGAACCATTCAGGAAGGAGACCTACATGAGCAATTTTTAGCATTAACCACAGAAGGGAATATCATGGAGTATAGAAAAAGATTCGAGCTCTTGTCAAGATAACAGAGGGGATTTTTTAAGCGCTATTGGAGGGAAACTTCATGAAAGATTTAAAATCTGACATACATGCAACACTTTGGCTGCTAAGACCGTGAGGCCTGTGAGAAATTATGGAAATAGCAAACTATTACAGCTGCAACAGTACAAAAAAACTCAAATAGTTGAATTTCAAAAGGAAGGTTCATGGGACAAAATTATGGGTTACGAACGGGAGTGACTCTCAAGCACTTTACAAAGACAAAGATTCGGTAGAATTGAACCAATGGGTTATATTTTCAGTGTGATGATAAGTTTACTCGGAGCACCATTGTAAGGATCAAACATTACAAGTTCTCACAATGTGCGATGAGAAGACAGATGATAAAGAAACAAAGATGACAGTGGTGGAGGAAGAATACCCTCACTTTTTCCCACCTTAAGAATAATATGTACTTTGTTGGGGGAAATATTATTATGTCGGTGCCTAGCCTGAGAGCAATTTAATCTTTTATTATTTATTAATGTTTAACATAAATAGACCCTAAAAGCTTGGTGTGGTATGCATGAAATTGAGTCTTTGAAATAAAGGGTTAGGATTTAGAAGAAATTTTCCACCTCTCAAATTGTAAAAGTTGGGAGAGATCACCTAGCTATCGAATTGTATGATTTGGGAGAGATTGCCTATCTTTTGAATTGTAGGTGTTTATTTTTATGTATTTGTGTTGTATTGCTTTGATTTTGGGTTTGTGAAATAAAATATGTGTTTACACTAATTTATGTGAAAAATTAACTTAGATAGCATCAAAGTCGTGGCCAATACAGAGAAAGGTAAATCTAAATTTAATTGTTTTATTTTTAATTAATTTGAATTACTTTCGTTAGTGGCTCTTATAATTATTTGGATGATTTTATTCATTAGTTGGTAATAGTATTAGAATTAAAAATTAGTGTTGAATTGTTTGTTCCCCCTTTCAAAGTTTCAAGTCCTTAGGTCAAATAGTGACACTGGTACGCTCATTTCCCACATTTATGAACTTTACATCAATTTTTGTCAAATAAACATGTTCCAACAATGAGATTATTTTGGATTATAATTAAGAAATCAAAATACTAAATTGTATACCTTTAATAATCTAGGACTAAAATGGCTCGCCACAAATATTTAGAGACTATTTTGATTGTTTTCTCATAATTTTGCCATTCAACAAGCAAGTAAAATACCAAGAATGTTTAGATGAAATACCAAAGCTTACGTAAACATATAGTTTTACCCACATTTTAACGATCAAACATAACAAAAAACCTCCTAACATCATCAAACACACACAAATCATTTTTTTTTTCAATTAGTAATATTTTACAAATACAAAACCACAATCATCAACATGATTTCAGTTTTTCTTATTTTTCAATCATAAAACATCCATTAGCAAATCAAAATTATTCACATTAAGCTTACTAAAAAATAATATGATGCAAATTTATGAAATTTTAAAATGATTTGGTTATGCACCAAACATTAAAAAATAACACCTAAATAGATGATCTACATGGTAAGATAGATGTAGCAAAAGTACAAAAATCAAATTAAGTATAGAAGAAAAAATACTTCTAATAGAATTGATTTAAAAAAGCATTACTTGGAAGTAATCTTTTCGTTGGTCATTATAAGCTATGTATTTCTTTATCAAGTTTAATCAATGGTCAAACTTCATTAGAAGTTATCAAATTAGATCATAAGTCTGCTTTGTATGTAGGTCAACATCAATAATTTTGATCTTGAAATTGAAAACAGTGATTACAAAACTAATTATGTGGACAACTAAAAAGTCCACAAAAAGGAATAGTGGTACATACTGACAGTTATTTGTGTTTGTGTGTTGGTCAGGAACCCCATATCAGAGGAAACTTACAACTAAAAAGCAGATGTCCGACCAACATATCATCTGCTTTTTAGTTGTAAGTTTCCTCTGATATGGGGTTCGTTTCCCTCTGATGGAGGGTGAGGTACTCGAATTGTTAGACACATTAAGGATGACCGAGACTCGTATAATAGCTTCAAGCCATTTCTTTATATATATATATATATATATATATATATATATATATATACATGCAAGTATATGTATATGTATGCATGCATTCATCAAAAAGCACACATACATATTTCAATCCACTTCAATCAAGCTCAATTTAATTTAGATATAGTTTAGTTCAAAATAAATTCAAGCTAGGATTGATTCATGTACTTTAATTCCAAAATATGTTTGAGCCAAGTCATATAAAACTAGATTTGACCTTTCTAGCAATTCAATTTCTAGTTCAATCCACGTCCATGCTAATGATGAAGAATCAATCCGGCTTTATGTCAGTTAGATTTACAATAGGCAATTTTGCATCTACAGATGATATTTTTTAACACCAAAAAAACATATGATCAAGTACCATAAAAATCCTTTAGTATACATTAAGAAAAAGAATGAACTTGTCATGACTATTTTAAAATTAGTTAAAATATACATACACATATGCAAGTATATTGACAAATATTAAAAGTAATTATAAAGAGACTAACAAACTTTTAAACATACAGAATTACATTTAAGGATCAGTACAAAGTTTTTAATTTTACTTTTTATATTGGTTATCTAGATACTTACAAAATATTATTCGAAATAAAATATCTTCATATTTGCCATTTGGAACTGATCTAAGAGAATAGTTGAGGCCTTCGCTAAATAAGTGCCAAGTTATAAACGATGGAAAGTTAAAAGATAAATACTACAAAAATCAAGGCATACATATGATATGCATATTTAGGAGGGAAACTCCTACCAGACAATCAATCTAATAGTAAAATTAAGTGACAGAGTTTGATAAGTTTAAATATTGAGTTTATTATATTAAAAATAAAAAAAATAAATAAGGATGAAGTTATGGCTTGTTGTTTATGATTGGAAAAAGCTATAGTAATGCTATGCAATAAAAAATATTAGAAAAAGGATCATTAATGAATCATAGTTGGATCTTTCACATGATAGATTTGAATGTTGGTAAGAAAAATCACAATAAGAAAATTATGGTAACAATAGAAATAATAGACAGAAATAATTATATTATCAAGATCAAAAAGGTTAATGCCACATGTATGGCTCAACAAAAACAAACAATGAAAGAAAAATGAGAACTCATGATGGACTTCAGCTAGTTATAATAATTCATACATATATATATATATATATAGTGAAAATTAATTTAACATTAATAATTAAATTTATCACTTTACATAAAATTAAAAAGGAAAATTTACATGCATGCCACTCAATTCTAATGTATTTACATACTTAACATCTAAACTTTAAATTTTTACATGCATGACACCTTACCTAAGAATGAAAAGGAATATTTCACATTTTAAAAGTTAGAATAGTGGTGTTTTGATGTGGTATGATAAATTTAGATACTCTAATTGTAAAAATTAGAGTTAAGGTGTTAGATATGTAAATACATAAGTATTGGCGGTATGTATGTAAATGCCCCAAAAAAAAAAATTTACATAACAATTAGCGATATGGAATACCACATAACTAAACAGGACCTAACAGTTCTTTTAGAGCAATGCAGATAAATATGATAACAATGGAGACGGTGACAGCAACCATTCATATGGACAGTAGCTCAGTGCTGGTTACCTATGGTTGGACTGAAGTTATATTATGAAAAACCAAACCAACTTCATAAACTAGTAACTAATATGCTCATTGCATAGCATATAAGTTAAAGTTATTAAGAAATTTCATTCACAGAATGTGTCCGAGCATTTAAATGCAATAAAGTGGAAGCATCAAGTGCTAAGATACATATTCAACCATACATACATCAGTATATAGAGAAGAGAAGTTTAATGCTAAATGTGTACCTTAAGATGAAGTCCTGTGTCAGATTCTTTTAATCTCATAAATGCTGAATCAGGCAGCAGATCTTTGAGTGTGAAATGACTCTCAGCTGATTCTGATTGAGCATCAACGCACTTGGAATTTTGGACCTCACTCGTAACTTCAATCTCTAAAGATTTTCTATCAAAAGATTTGCAGTTTTCCTCGTTCACATCTCGTTTCTTCTTGGAATTCTTAAGAAGCTTAAGTGGTTTTCCGAGCCCTTCAACCTTGGTCTCATGTCTTGCTTTTTCAACAGCATGCTTCCTGCCCTTATCACCAGCTTGTTTCTTATCTTTCTCCGCATTTTTTATGTCCTGTAAATGTTGTACCCAACATGCCCCAAGTTCCCATCTAAAGAATATACTATTATCAGTTTCCTCATCTTCAAGCTTTGTTAAACTCTGAATGAGGACTTTCTCAATGAAAGCTTGAGCAGCAGATTGTTCTTCAGCTCTGGACTGCTTCGAATGATTGGATATTCTCTTCTGTTCAGATGCAGGGACTTTGTGAAGAAGCATCCTCAAACTATAGACAACATCAAATATATTAGAAGCACTGAACTCATCTGAAATGATTAAAAAGTTAATGGGCCACCTAATAGTCTAAGTAACCTGTTAATGTTCAAAGCATTAGATCCTTCAGGTTGATCATCTATATCAAAAATCTGTAATGGGGGGCCTGCTGCCACACATGTCTCTTCGTAGTTAACTTTAACAACTGCAACGTAACCACAGTATCTTATGTTGACAATGCCTAAAGTGCACACATCCTGCAAAATCACAGATTATTCTTAATGAACAGTTGAACAAAAACAATTTATTTATGGCTTTAAAAGCTTCGGAGTTGAATAGCAAAGTAGAGCATAGCTAATTATTGTTCTTACATGGGCTGCTGTGTTTTCATCTGCAGTGATTCCTTTTAATAAGTTTCTCTCTGCCAGATTTTTACAGTCCATTCTTGTTGTTCTGGCCCCATCAATCTTTGTGTCCACTTTTTGGGTTGCATCTGAAGCATCCCTGAAAACCGTGATGCTAAGATCTCCCACTGTCTCAAGGTGTAAAATTTCTTTCGTCTCAAGTGATGGCATCAAACGCTTCACTTCAATAACATGCTTAATTGCGGCAATCGCTCTAAAGATAGCAGCATCCACAAATACGCTGTGAATCAGAAAAGCATTCCTATCCCTGATCTGTCTTTCCTCTGCTGTTTTGCAAGGCATAGCTGTAATGAACCGAAACTTACTAGCCCAAGGAACTAAATCACTTTTGCCATCTCTTGCCCATCCACCACCATTACCCCCCCATGTTTCATCCTCTGCAGGGAGGGGAGGAAATGTAGCGGGTGATTGTGCAGCTAACGGTGGAATGAGCCATGTATTAGCACGATATCCATAGGGAAGATTACCAAACTGCATCATGAAGAAACAACTCATATCTTAGGACGGAAGAGACCTAGCTAAGTGACGAGGGTGCTGCGTCAGTGTACAAAATCAATATCATAATGTACGACAGCAAGACAATATTTCATGAACAAAAAATACATCATATGATTTGGATATTGCTGAAGCCTTCCCTTTATAGACGATATATTATATTCATTGGCAGAACCCAAACTTAGAAAATACTAAACTGCTAACTTGTACATAAAGACATTCTTCTAAATAGGTGTGGAGAAAAAATTTTAACATTTGTAGAGAAAGAAGGAAAAATTGTGAATTTCAAATTTAATTCATTCCACCATAGAAAAATTTGTTGAATCCCATATTGTCAAGATGAAAATAAACACTTTAGTGCTGGATTTGTTTTATTGATTTCTAGGACTTTTATGTGAGTGCATATAGTATGACAAGCTGGAATAACAATTTCATTTCAAGTCAAGTAATCAAGACACAGGAAAAAAATCTCATTTCTAGATCTTTCAATCATCATAAGAAAATCCCTTGCACTGAGCCACGAGCTTCACCTTCTAAATCAACTAGACCAACTGAACATGGCCAACATTTCATTAATCAGTTAATAGGTCAAAGTTAAGCACTCGTAAAAATCATTGCTGAGCTAGGTTATTTGAACTGCCAAAGCTCATTTTAAACTTGACCAATTGACTAAAAAAATTCCCCTGATGAAGGCCCTATTGCTAACTAGCACTAGTGACCGACCAGGTTCACTTGTCAACTTGGCTGACTACACATTGATGTTCTTGATGGGTTTGAACGGATATGGAGTCAATCTTCCTGAAAACATTTTTGAAATGTAATTTTCTTTTGTCCTATATGTGCAAAGAAAACTTTCAATAGTTCCAAACCAACTTGCAATGGAATCCCATAATTAGAAATCCTTGGGGATTGCTTGCAACATTCTTTTTATTTTTGCTTTTTCTTTTTTTTTCAAAAAAAAAATGCATTTATTTGATATTTTTGTTTTAAATGTTTATGTTGAACAGTTTCTAAAAACCACAATACAGAATTATGTTTTCACTATTTTTAAAACATCTTTTCTGAGTGCATCTCAATATATCTGCTAACCTGACTACTATTTATGCTCTCCTAATCTCTCCCTTTCGAGTAACGCCAGAACCGACACCACCATTGTCGTTGCTGGACATGATGCAGACACCAAAACTACTCTTCCTTTCTAACCTCTGATGCATGGATCATGAGTTCTTCAATCTCGATTCTTTATTTTAATTTGTATCTTCTTCAATCTATGCATCTTCTAAGGCATAGATCGTGAGTCTCCCACCACTAGGAGGAAAATTGTAGTTCATAGGCTTAGAGAACCTTGCTTCAGTTTTCAGTTGAAATTTGATCAGTACCCTCCATCCCTAGCCATCAAGCAAACCTCCCGGTGGCAATCTCATAGCCGCCAACTGCAACTCACAAGGGAGAAGAACCAAATCCCAACTGGTGAGAGAGAAAAACTTTAAGTTGAGGCCATAAGGGAAACTCCTAAGTCTGAGGAACCAACACCAAATACCCGACAACCATAGATAAGAGACATTCAAACTTTTCAAATAGATAAACTCCTTCCTAAGTTGCCCCAACTGAGGGAGGTCCAACATATCAGAAATGAGACTCTTTTGTACCATTTTAGGAAGACTAGATAGAGTTAGTTGAGTGTTAAAATCTATTCCGCAGTGTCCCCCAACAAATAATCAGACATGATGAATCATAAGTTTGGAAGTTGACATAGAAGATTGGTGGAGAAGAAAATTCTTCAATGGGATCTATGTTCTACCAGAGGAGAAGAAGATGCCTCTCTCGAAGGGTTGCTAGTGAGAGTTGCTCAGTCTTTCACAGAATTCACATCCCAAAGTTGAATCCTCCTTACATACTTATTTACCAAATACATTCAGTCGAGTACAAGGAGCGGATATAACAAATTACGAAACTACTGGCTTGAGAGTTACTTTAGAAAAAAATATGATTATATACCTATCAAGTTGTTCCCAAAGCAGAACGATATTTATTCTATCAGAATATGTTTTAGGATGACAATACCAGTATGAGTGACTTACCGTGAAGTTATAGTAGCTCCACCATCTTCAACATGGCCGACCTGACTACTATGAGTATACAAAAGCTTCGACATATAATGTTGAAGATCCCCCAAATCCCGAGAGATTGATGCGAGAGCTACCGGACCCCTCCTTCCACGATATTGCGACAGTGCACAGGCGCCAGTTCACGGGAACACAAAAAAACAAACCAAGCGATCTTCGACTCCTTTTCAATTTTTAGCAAGTTTTCTCCTTTCTTTTCATTCATATTTATTAATTTCCTATATATGCATTGAATTAGAGTTCAGAGGGAGTTTTTTTGAGTGTTTTGCATCCGAACAGCTAACGGCGTCTCATCTTCCTTCGAGGGCTCTATCTTAGTATTCTAAGTAATGCTTCAGCTGTATCTTGATCTCCAGGCAGTGATTATCTTCCCTATCCCTTTGCATATCTCTCCCGCACGCTACCACATCAACCTCCTCGCTACATTTGCCCCAAAAGTAGTTGTTTTGTTGTTATTCCTGTAGTGCCTCACCGTCAAATCATCTTCCTCATAGTCGTAGCCCTAGAATAATTCTCATTTGGTTGTCCTGCAGTCATACGCCTTCCCCGCTGCTGTCACCACCATTCTCGCTCGTCGTCACCACCCGGAAACAGCCTTACCTAACTATTTTCAATTGTTCCAGCCACCTGACTATTTGTTTCTCTCATTTCAACCTACTGCTTTTGTCGCAGCTCCTCCCATTCGTTGTTGACGTACTCCTCCCTTGTTGCCGCAACCAAGGATGGCCCTTCCCGTTGGTTCACTATTGTACAACCCCTCCTCTTTGCTGACCCAACCACCCTCTCAACCCAATCAACCACCTACTTCCACTCTCTGACCACCTAGTTGACCTTCACCACTCGTGAATCAAACCTTAGTGTAAGTATATGTCGTATTTATTATAATTTCTCTTTCAAGGTGTTTGATAGTAACTGTCTATTTGTTTTAGTAATAATATTTTTTTCCTATTATAATTTGGGTTAACTACAGTATCATATTATCTTATAATGTTAGAACATTTACAACAAAGATGCATGAGCAACTATCTTGGTGCCCTATGTATGACCTTTACAATTTGCCAAAGAGAGATATTGTATTGAAGTCCCTCGAATAATTTGGAGGTGGGCAACCTTTGTATCAATCTTCTATAAATAGTACATGTTGATAAATTAGGATAGAGTCACGATCTCGTTAGGGACTTGGAATTAACTAAAGACGGAAACAAACAATAAGGTAATGACGCGGTACAGAAGGACAAGAAAAGGAGAAAACAAAGGGATAGAAAATAAGAAACGTACAGATATGGAAAATGAGATGATGAATCAGGAAGGGAGAGAAAACGAACAATTAAAGGAGAAGAGCAGAGGGTCGGGCAAACGAAACTAGGGGAGAGAGAACGAGATCGGGAAGATGAAGAAGTGATTTGGTTATATAAATTGCATGTCCACTTACCTGAAAACCAAGCAACAAGTGAAGGAGAGGAGAATAGCACGGGAGAAGCACTAGTCAACAACGAGGACTTAGGAAGCATAAGCTTCGAGGTTAAGCTGTGGAAGGACGACGAGGGGCTCGAAGAAAACAATGAGCTTCAGGCAGTTCGAGCAAAGGAAGAGCTCTCTTGCGAGGGAGGCTATCGTCCGAATCTCTCACTCGCAAAAGAGAAACACATATTTCAACGGGGTAAGTTTTGGTTGAAGGAAATATTAAGGGTGAGTTTAATAATTATGATATTTAATAAAAATTATATAACTATATAATATATAATTATGTGTGTGTATATATATATTTAGGTTAACACAAGATAAAATAATGAAATTTAATATTTAATTAATGAAAATTTAATAGTTTATCGAATTATTAAATTAACTAATTTTACAATATGTTAAGGTTCCAAATTTTGAAGGATCAATATCGAGACAAATCAAATAACAAATTAAGTGTCATCGAGGTCAGTACTTTTACATCTAAGTTATAATAATAAAGTTGTATTTTCTTCTAAACTACTCACATTATAATTAAATATCTTATTACTAAAATTAGAATAAGATTATTTTGGCTTATTATTTAATTTGATCATCTAGAAGTGAATTTGACTGATTTGCATAGTTATACTTTTTACCACGCATGCATATTATAAGATATTGGATGATATTTAGAATGTAAACAAGATAATTTATAGTATGTTTGCATGTGCATGTTTGACTATGATAGAACACCTCTTGATCATATTAGTCGAGAAACACTAATATGTCTGTGCAAGTAAATGAAAAAAAAATACTGATATTGATGCATCTTAATTGATACAAATTTTTAGATGATGCCTCATGTGACGGTTGTCTAGATATTAAATGATATTGATTGAATGTTTATATTAAATTATAAAGAAGCTTAGCTGATATAAATATTGTTCTTTTGCTTCTTTGTAATACGTTAATTTAGAAGTAAGAGTGTTCATTGGCTCATTTAGTTCACAATTGTACTAACTAATTTTTCAAGTTCAAGTAAATTATTAAAAGATTAACAATAAACGATGAAATGTTTATAGACGAAGGGGAAAACCCGTAACGAGTTAATTTTAATTGTATTGCTTTAACTTAATTTGTAGAAAACTTTCATTTGTTAAATTGTAGACGAATGTAGAAAATTTAATTCGCACCGTCCGACAGTCCGTTTCTGCCTTAGTTAATTTCAAGCCTCGAACCAGGTAGCAACGAGTCTGGCAATAGAAACTAAATTTTTCGTGTCCACGATTTAACAAATGAAAGAGTCACTAATCAAATTAAGTTAAATCGAAATATTTAATATTGTCTCGTTATTAGTTGTTCGTATCTTCTATACACATTTTTTTCTTCCATTGTTCATTGTTAATCACTTAATCAACCTGAAAGTTAGTTTAAAATAACAAAGAACTAAACAAACTAGTAAATACTCATACTCCAAAACTATAGTAAAATAATGAAAAAAGAAAGCAATCTACATGCAAATTAAATTTTTTAAAAAATCAATATAAATATTTGACATACTATTCAATATATCTTACCACATCATTGTCATTTTTTATATATACAATCATCACAAGAGCATCGTTTAAGAATTATACCACATAATGTACTTCAATATCAATATTCTTTTCCATTTACGTGTACAAGTACCATAGTATTTCATCACTAGTACCATCAAGAGGTGACTCTATCATAGTCAGAAATGCACATATAATCAATCTATGTAAATCATATCATGCATAATTTTATATCACTCAACATGTAAGACTATAATACATTAAATAATTTATAATATGAGATTATAAGCATTCGCATCAAAATAATTGATAAATTTTAATAATAAAAAAATTAATTATATTAATCAAGCATATAAAACAACTCATAAAACTGGTTAAGAAGAAATACCAAAAAAATATTATAATTTAAGAATAAGAGTACTCACATTGATAACGATCTACTTGCTTTAACTTGTATTACTTCTTTCAAATTATCACCTATAAAATATAAAATATATAATTATCAATTTACTTAATTCTATCATAATTTAATTATGAATTATTGTTTCATTTGACAATTTTAATTAGAATTTGAATACTTTAAACTTCAAGTTTAATTATAGTAATATAATTAATATTTATTAATTTATACCAAAAAATGACCCTAACATTCTTTTAGTGCTTAAATCAAATGCACTTAAGTTTAATGATTAAATAATAAATTTATATTATACATAGATACATATATATATA